GGTCTCCTCGCCGCTCCTCATCTTGTAGAGGTTGTTGAGCTGAGACCTCGGGAAGGCCCCCGCCCCTCCCTCCCTGCTCCCTGTGCGCGCGGGGCGTGCCCTGGCAGGACGAGGGAGGGCTGGGCGGCGGTACGGCCATCGCGCTTCCACAGGGAACACCGAACTCGCCGGCCCAACGGGCCAGCGGCGTGCGAAGATCTCCGGTAGCTGGTCCACAATATTTCTAATTCGCGCGCGCGAAGCGGCCCCTGGGGGTCCCAGCAAGGTGTGCCCAAAGATGCCGGAACGGTTTTCCGCGGAGGGCCTCAAGAGGCCACCGAGATGGTCCAAGAGGGCTCCGAGTCGCCGACCGATCGGTCCAAGACGCCCAAGATCGCCTCCACGCGGCCGAAGACGCCTCGAAGACGCCTGCAGACGCCTCCAGGAAGCGTCTCCAGATGGCCCCAGGATACAACAATTATTGATAATCCCTGGGATTTTTGGAGGATTTTAGCGTTCTCACCTGTTCGGCTTCCCGACGCTCCAGGACAGCCCAAGGCCCTCAACATCGCCCCCAGACGGCCCAAGAGGACTTCAAGGTCCCAAGACGGCTCAAGATGGCCCCAAGACGGCCTAACAGGCCTCCAAGACAGCCCAAGATAGCCCCTGGGGATGCCCCAAGAAGGAGCCCAGACGAGGAACCCGAACGGACATGTCGAAACCAGCCTCCAAAATATATCCAAGACAGCTCAAGAGACCTCCATGAGGGCCTCAAAGCAGCCCAAGAGGGCCGCAAGACGGTCCCAAAAGCCCAAGAGCCCTCCAAGACCGCCTCGGAAAGCCTCCCAAAAGGCACCCAAGAGCTCCCAAGAAGCTCCCAAAAGCTCTGGACATTTCGAGCGGACTCTCCCAGGATATCCCCAAGGCCCCCAAGACCTCCCGAAGAGGCGCCCAGGGGGCTCCACTAAGCCTCCAGGAAACTCCAAGAGACTCCCAAGCGGCTCTCAAGGCCTCCCAACAAAGACTCCAAGGGCTCCCAAGAGGGTCACCCCGAGAAGCTCCCGAGTGCTCTCAGAAGAGACAGCAAGAAGCATCCATGAGCTCTCCGAGATGCCCCCACTGACCCCAAACGCACTCCTACTCCTCCTGCTCCTCCTCGCTCACCACGAGCACGCCAACCCATAGCAACACTGATACAATATGGGCCGGCGGAAGGAGCGAAGCGATTCATTAAGGAACGAAATGGCTCTTCTGGCCACGGCGAGCCTCGGCCACGAACAGGTTCCCCCACCCAGTTCTGAGGAACGCCCCGAAACCAGAGAAGCTAATATAATTGATGGCCCCCAAGTGGTCCCGATTTCGGCGGCCTGACTGCCGTCGCTCCTCCCTGGACCTCCCTCCTCCTCCCTCAGACTCCCTCCCTCCCTCCGACCACTCCTCCCTCCTCGGCTCGCGTACCGCTCTTCAAACTGCGCGCTGCTGATGCTCCTCCTCGCCCTCGGGCCCGGGCACGACCACCCCGGGATCGTCCGGGTCCGCGGGCGGGGCATGGCAAGGGACGTCCCCGGGCAAGACCGACCCGCGCACGACGGGCGCGGCAGCCGTGGAAGCCGACGCGTGGGCAGAGAGGTCCTCGCGGCCCCGTGGGCCGTCGGCCCTCAGAACCGAGCCCGACGGCAGCGGACCGCCCCCCTCGTCGACAGCGTGGCACGCGGGTGGCCAGGGCAGGGGCAAAGGGGCCCCAGGACACACACACACACACACACACACACACATAAATACACACACGACAAGAAACATGCCCCACATTTCCCCATGTTTTTGGGGGGTGTCGTCTTCCCCCCCACTTCCCATATTTTCCTATATTTTCTATGGGAATCGACGATTCATTGTGTCTGCGTGTTCTTTTCCCTCCTGAAGGGGCCCGGGCGGCGACGCTGCGTCAGGACATCGCGCGACGGACGCCGCAGCGCCTGGCCCCTCCTCCGGAATCCCGCGGCTCAGGTCCCGCTGCCCGCGAGGTCGAGGTCCAAGGGAAGACAGCCTTGGGCCTTGGGTCGGGCGTGTCCCCCTGCAGGAGGATCTGGGATGGAAAACGAAGAATTTTCAGGGAGCCGAGCTCTATACACCGAAGCTTTTTCTGGCTCCGCACCGAAGCTCGCACTGCCAAGCGGATCCTGGTGTATACGGGATCCTGGTGCATACATTTGTCGCTGTCTCCCCTGCAAAACGCTGAAACCAGTATAATTACACCACACAGCCCCGACGTCGCCCCCGACCCTCAAAAGGTCCTGGGATTGAAAAACAGCCCGCCACTGGTAATGTATATGTTCCAGTTTCTGACTTGTCAAATATGTCCAAAAATGAAAAAAATCGTCCCCAGACTATGTTTGATCATTTTGGAGTAGTCCTCCTGACGAGGGACAGGCCCGACCTAAGCTCAGTCCCGCTGCCCACGAGTTCGCGGTCAGCGCCCTGGCGCGGCCGCGCGCAATCGCAAATGAGCAAAAACCAGCGCGGGCGAGCCAGAGGTCGGCGCCGCCGCCTGGCGCCCTCGGGCGCGCCCTGGCGCAGCCGCGCGCAATCGCAAAGCAGCAAGAAACAATCGGAAGCCAGCGGCGACAGCAACCCCTGGCGATGCACGCGGTGCGGCAGGCAGGCCCCGACGGCCAGCTGCCGCAGGCAGCTTTTGGCTCCTTTGCCCGAGTGCGGGCAGGTCGCGGCCTGCGGCCTCGGGTGCCGAGCGGACCGCTCGGGCGGCGAGCCTGGGTTCGAGGAAGGAAAACGCCATAAACTTCGGTCGGGCGTGTCCTCCCAAATGGGATTCTGGGCGAAGCTAGAAAAAACTGAATACGCAAGAAACAGAAATACCACAGACATCGTCCGCAGACGATGTGTGTTCTATGTTTGACTATTCCTCCTGTAGAGGGACAGGCCCGACTTAAGGTTAGCGGGAGAAAGCCGCCATAAGCAGAAACTTTTGGCGCTCCGCGCGGATTGCGTGGATCTGCGCTGGACCCCCCTCCCTGGCGCGCGGGGCGCGCCAGGGGCGGCGCCGGAGGCGCCGCCGGGGGGCCCAGCGCAGATCCAAGCAATCCGCACGGAACGCCAAAAGTTCATATTATTATTATTATTATTATTGTTATTATTGTTGTTGTTATTATTATTAGTATTAGTATTAGTATTATTATTATTCGTATTAATATTATTATTATTATTATTACGATTATTATTATTATTAGTATTATTAGGACGCTTGTTGTTATTATTATTATTATCGTTATTATTCGTATGATGATGATGAGGATGATGATGATGATTATTATTATTAGTAGTATTAGTATTTGTATAATAATAACTATTATTATTAATAATATCATTAGTATGCTTGGTATTATTTTTATGAATATGATTATGGTGATGATGTTATTAGTATTATTATTAATTATTATTATTATTAGTATTATTATTGTTGTTGTTATTATTATTGTTATTATTATTATTATTATTAATATTATTATTATTATTATATGGGTGCGGCGGCGGCTGCGCTCGGGCTTGCCGCGGCGGCGGCTGCACCGGTGGGCCAGGGCGGCGCGGGCTCCGAGAAGCAGGCCGAGGGCCCTGGCGAGGCTGGCCGCCCGCGCGGCGGCCGCGAGGCGGCCCGCCCGCCCGGCAGCCCGCCCCGTGCCCGCCCGCGGCTGGGTCAGCCGCCCGGGGCGCCTCCCAGTTCTCCTCCTCCTCCTCCTCCTCCTCCTCCTCCTCTTCCTGATCCTCCTCCTCGTCTCCCTCTGCCCCGTCCTCCCTCCTCCTCCTTTTTCCTCCCTCCCTCTTCCTCCTCCTCCTCCTGCTCCTCCTCCTCCCTTCTCCTCTTCCTCCCCTCCTCCTACCCCTCCTCCCTCCTCCTCCTCCTCCCCTCCTCCTCTCCTCCTCCTCCTCCTCCTCCTCCTCCTCCTCCTCCTCCTCCTCCTCCTCGTTCGGAGGACCCTGGGAGTGCCTGGGCGGACTCTGCCGGCGCCGGGGCGAGCGGCTCGGGGGGTGGCTGGCGGCCGCCTGAGAGAGCCTGTCGGCGACCCATCGGTCGGCCACTGGGTGCGGCTCCTGCACGGCTGCCGCCTGTGCACGAGATGCTGCGCCTGCGCCCGCGAGGCCCTCGGCTCCGTGCGGCACTCGGGGCTGGCCCGCGAGGGCTCGCCCCCGTCGACGGCTGCGGCGGCCGCGCGGCGGCGCCGCCGCAGCCTGGGCGCCCGCCACCCGCACAGGGCTCCTTTGGGAGGGGGGGGTGTTGTGAGGCGCAAGCGGCGCGAGCTGGCCAGTTGGCCCGCCGAGCCGGCGTGAGGCTGCGGCCATGCCTGCGCGAGGCGAAAGGCTCCCAGGGGAGCGGCGGCGCGGCACGGCGGCGCGGCACGGCGGCGCGGCCAGGGCGCGCGCGGCGAGGCGGCGCGAGCGGGCCCCATCGGCTGCCAAGCGCGAAGCCGAGGGGCTCCGCGGTGCGCGGGCAGACAGACAGACAGACACGCAGACAGCCAGCCAGCCAGACAGACAGACAGACAGACAGATTAGCAGGCAGGCAGGCAGGCAGGCAGGCAGGCAGGCAGGCAGGCAGACAGACAGACAGACAGACAGACAAGCAGGTAGGCAGGCAGGCAGGCAGACAGACAGACAGACAGGCAGGCAGACAGAGAGAGAGGGAGAGACAGTCACCACGATTCCCACGACCACTACCACCACCTCCACCACCAAGACCACGACGACCGTCACGACCACCACCACGACGACCGCGACCTCTACGACCACTGACTGCCTCGACGAGTACTCCCACGACATCCGCCCCCGCCTTCGCCCCCGCCCCCGCCCCCCCCTCTCCTGCCCCATCTGCCTGGCCACCCCTGCTTGATGTGCGCTCTCCTCACCCTCCTCCTCCGCCTCCTCCTCCTCCGCCTCCTCCTCCTCCTCGTCCGCCTCCTCCTCCTCCTCCGCCTCCTCCTCCTCCTCCGCCTCCTCCTCCTCCTCCTCCTCCTCCTCCGTCGCGCCTCCTCCTGCCCCAGCCGCAGCCCGGTGCCCCTCCTCTCGCGCGCCGCAGCCCGGTGCCCCTCCTCCTGCCCCAGGGGGCGCTCGGCGAGACGCGGTGCGTGCTCCGAAGCCGCAGGCGTGCTGCCCCGCCCGGGGACACCACGCTCGTGTTGGGTCGGGCACGTCCCCCTACAGGCGGTCATTGGAGGACAACTTCAAGATACCCCAAACATACAACAAGTAATCAAAACTATGCCTTTGCAGAAAAATCGTCCCCCGACTATGTTTCGACTATTTCTGAACATTCCTCCTGTAGAGGGACACGCCCGACTCAACGCTGGTGTCGCGAGAGTGGGCCCTGCCCAGAGCATCGTCTAACCGATCCCTATCCCCACCGGTGCGGCCTGGACTGGGACTCACAGAAACATACTAATGCGATATATCCTCCTTGGAGGCGCGCGTCCGACCCGAGCATCTAGTACACCCATCTTGTAGTATATCGTTTCCCGAGCGGCGCGACCAGAAAGCGCCCGCCACGACGCATATACTGTAACATTTTTCGGTGCGCGCGTCGCCCCCAGGGGGGCGAGTCTGCGAGGGGCGGGGAGGAGGGGCAGAGGCGGGGGGGAGGGGAAGGCGCGGAGCGCGGCCAGGGGGCGAGGGGGGGAGGCGCCGCAGCGGGGCGGCGGCGGCAGGGGGCCCGCGGGGGAGGGCGGGGTTTTGGGGCGGGGCAGCAGCTGCGGGGGCGGGGGGCAGCTCGGATGGCAGGGTGGCGGGGCGAGGGGCCCAGGCCTCCGCAGGCCCCAAGAGCATCGTCATCGTCATCGCCATCGCCATCGCCATCGTCGTCGTCGTCGTCGTAGTCGTCGTCGTCGTCGTCGCCGTCGTCGTCGTCGTCGTCGTCGTCGTCGTCGTCGTCGTCGTCGTCGTCGTCGTCGTCGTCGTCGTCGTCGTCGTCGTCGTCGGGTGAGGGGCCCAGCCCAGGCCTCCAGAGGCCCCAGGAGCGTCGAGGATGCGGCCCCTCGGCCCCCGGATGCCGGCCTCGGCTTCTGGCATGCAGGAGACGGGGCCCGTCGGAAACGGGTCCTGGACCCGGAGGGGGCCTTACCCCAGCGCCACCTCCTCGTCCGGGGTCGCTTCCTGATCGTCCCGAGGCCCGTGGAGGGCCCCGACCGAGAAGCCAAGCACGGCGAGAAGCAAGACCCGCTTCCCTCGGGACCCGCTTCCCGCATGGCGAGGCTTTGCCAGGGCTGCCTCGGGGGTTGCTGAAGATGCCCCTGGCCCAAGGTGCCCCCCCCAGCTTTTCGCTTCATTTTGGAGCCCACGGGCCCTCTGGGCCTCGTGAGGAATGCGGCTCGGGAGGCTCTTCCGGGGGCCCAGGGGATCGACGACAGCAGGTCGTCGGAGTTCTGGGGCTCTCAAGGCTAAGGTATACCCTCGGCTTGTCGGCTACACGCGAGAGTGACCCTGGGTAAGAATGACCTACCTTTGGTGCGCGGCTTTTGGGGATCCGCGGGGGGGGGGGGGGGGGCAACCTGGGTGCGCAAGCTCCTGCTGCCGCTTCGTTTCCAGCCATCTGGGGGCCCATCTGTGCCCGCACCAAAGGTCACTCCGGCGGAAGGTCACTCTTACGTCTAGTCGAGCTTGGCGCTCCGCATCTTCACCTTGCTTCTCTCCAGCGCCATCCGACTTCTTGCCCTCCGCGTCCCCCAGGGCCAGGGGCGTCATCTGAACCCGACGCTCGGCACCGGCGGGCGGCGGAGAGGCGGAGGGTTCTCCTCGTCGGACGCGTCCAGATCGACCGAGCTCGGTCCCTCTCGGACGGACAGGTGCTGTTCACTGGTGTACACCTCTGCGTGGAGTCCAGACTGTCTTAAGGCCAGGAAGAGTGAACTTCCCTCCAAGCGTTTTCTCGAGCGGTAGTCCAGGTCCAGACCTACGACTAGCATTCTGCACAAGAAAACAACTCCAAGATCCGCCCAGGGTCACGTCCGGATTATTGAGTTTCTTCCGCGAAATCTGGAGCCCATGAAAATTAGTGTTTGTGCTTACGATGTCTGCTGGGTGTAGACTGTCGCTCAAGCTTAACAAAGGGCGCCCACACGTGTGGGTTGGCCGAACAACTGAAACAGCAAAGGGGCCAAGAACATGGAGCGGGGCAGAAGTGCTGCATCTTCGCAGTGTTCGTTTCTCTGCTGCTATTCGCACCCTGTTCGGCTATCACGTGGATCCTGCATGATTGAATCCCGCATGCTCGCGCACCCACTGTTCCGTTGCACTGTTTGGCTCAGCAGTGACTGCGGAGTCATATCGCGATTCAATGGATGTTCGAACAATCGATGACGTCGGCCCCAGTGGCACCGCAGGATCAAGAAACAATCCATATCAGGGAAGCCTCGATTCACCATCGTCTTGCCATATGCATCTTCTACATCTCCTACCCAAGACCCCCGACGTCACTATTTGTTCCTAACGTCGACTCCCAGAGTCCTCGACCCATTCCCCAGGACGGGCTTCATCCTTTGTCGTTTTTTGGCGGTCCTGGGGACCAGTAAGGGCCCCAGGGGCCGAAAATAATGAAAAACCTTCCGTCGCGTTTTTTTCATGACCCGAGGGTTAACCGCGACAGGTTTGTAGAACCCCCCTGCAATAGTGGGAAACTGACTATCTTTTCGACGCCTTTCTTGGCGGACAGGAGAAGGAGGAGGAGGAGGAGGAGGAGGAGGAGGAGCAGGAGGAGGAGGGGCGGAGCTCATCCCCCGCCGAAAGAAACAGGGGGGAGGGAGCTCAAAACTAGAGACCTCCTCGAGTCAGGGGGAGGAGACGTGGTAGAGACCTCCTAGATGGGGCCCGAGTAAATGGGGTCGGAGGATCGCGCCGCATCGCCAATACATCGGCAATACATCGGCGACACATCGGCGATGCACCGGCGATGCATCGGCGACGTGGGTGATGCATCGGCGACGTCGACGTGAAACAAATCGGGCTCCACATGGAGCCGCATCGGCGATGCATCGGCGATGCGACGCGATCCTCCGATCCCATCTACAGGGCAGGTTTGAACACATCGGATTTTTTAAAATATAGGATTTTAATGCATGATTAATGTATGAATGAAGTCATGCATGAACTCATCGCTGTTTGTTCTACTAATCGCTGCATGTTGAATACATGATCCGCACGCGGAGCATGTATTAGAACTGGCGCTGTACTCCGACCCCATCCAAAAGGCCTAGATATGGGCAGCGGGTGCGGGAGCGTCGGGAGGCACGCCCGGCCCGCGGCCCCCCTGGGTCTCTTCTGAGGCCCGGGCAGCAGGAGGGGGCGGTCGCCCTTGAGCTCCTCCTGGGGAGGGGGGGGGGTGCAGGGGAGGAGAAAAGGGAGGAGGAGCGGGAGGAGAGGGAGGGAGGGAGGGGAGGAGAGGAGAGGAGAGGGAGGAGGAGAGGGAGGAGGAGAGGGGCAGGCAGCGGAGAGGAGGAGAGGGAGGAGCACGAGCAGATGCTGCTTCTGTGCTTCGCGATGGCGGCTGTTACCAGCCCCGGGTCCCCCACTCCCCCCCGTCCGTCCCCCCATGTAACGTCACGATTCGCGTTCGCCTCCGAGTTGTCTTCGGCGCACTATTCCTGGGCATTCCCAGGCGGCGCCCGCGCGAAACGTGACGTTACCCGCCCCCCGCTCCCCTCGCTCCCCCGGTAACGACCGCTTTCGCCCAAGAATACAACGACGCTCTCCAGGATTTGGACGCCCGAAATGGGCACGGAAAAAATGGGTACAATGCCCAGCAACAAATGTTGTCCCAAACCAACAGCGGCCGCTGTTGGGCAGGCGGCCTTCTGTCTCGAATGGACACAGGCCGCGGCGGCGTGGACAGCGAATCCTGTTCAAAATGAACAGGAACTGCTGTTGGGTATTGTACCCATTCTTTCCGTACCCATTTCGGGCGTGCGAGGCGAAGCAGCAGGAGGAGGCCCCAGAGCTCCCTCCGCATGGGCAAATGGGGCCGCCACTGCTGGTGCGTGCAAGGCCTGCCTTCCGCGCGGCGTCGGCACCCAGGGCACTTGCACGCCCTGATCTGGTTCGTTGCCTCCTCCCCGCGCCTCCGTCACCCTGTTCTTCCCCATGTCCAAAGGATGGGGCTCTTGTCGTTACTCCGACCGCACCGACTCCTTCACTCCTTCCTCCTCCTCCTCCTCCTCCTCCTCCTCCTCCTCCTCCTCCTCCTCGTCACGCTAGGCACGTTATGGTATGTTATGTTATGTAATGTCATGCTATGCCATGTTATGTTATGCTATGGCAGCATCCTCCGCTTGCGGAGCAGCTTCTGAGGATGTCCCGAGCGAGGCGCTGGCTTTCGCCCCCAGAGGGGGGACCGCCAGGGGGTATCTCACTCCTCCGGTCGCGCCAAAATGGCGGGGTTGTCGCTAACGGTTTCCCTGTTCTGGTTCCCAACATCCTCCGCTGTCGGAGCAGATTTGGAGGATGTCTCGAGCGAGGCGCTGGTTCTCGCACACCTGGCGGCCCAGACTGCGAGGACGTCTCGAGCGGCTTGCTCATCTTGCTGGTGAGACTCGTCTGCGTTCAGAGCAGGCTATGAGGACGTCTCGGGTGAGGTGCTGGCTTTTGCACCCCAGGGGGGCCCAGATTGTGATGTCCCAGACCCAGGTATGCTCCAATCATTCATTCTCAGACGCACTCGTACTCAGACTCGAACTCATCATACTCATATTCAGACTCACTCACACCCAGACTTGCGCACACGCAGACTCACTTTCACTGAGACCCATCCACCCTCATATTTACTCACTTGTAGTCATACTCGCTCGTACTCAGACCCACTCATATTCAGTTTCGCACTGATCATACCCATACTCAGACGCACTCAGACTTACTCGCAGTCAGAATCACTCACAGATCCACCCACCCTCATAATCACTCGTAGCCAACATGACCCGTATTCAGACCCATTCAGACTCAGACTCGTACCGTTATACTCATACTCATATTCAGCCACACCCAGACTTACCCACACTCGGACTCACTCTCACTCACATTCACCCATATTCAGACTTACGCATTATCAGACCCACTCGTACTCAGACTCTCCCATACCTAGACTCACTGGCGTTCGCACTCAACCATACCACGGTTCACTCACAATCAGACTCACTCACACTCAGATCACTCATGCTCAGATCCGCCCAGTCTTCTCCTATTTGGTGGTCCAGTGCCCCCTCGCTCTTCCACTTGTGCTTCTCTCCTCTCTCCTGGCAGATGCCCACTGAAGTCATTGAAGTCGTCGCTGTCGCCGTCGTCGTTGTCGCGCCCGTCGTCCACGCCGACTGGCTCTCACACCCAGATGCTCACAGAAAGAGCTCTTCAGCGAGAAGCGACAGGAGTATGAGATGCACAGATAGGGGAGCTCTACGCAGTGGATATTTTTGTTTGGGGAGGGGGGATCGGACACCCCAACGACAGCAGCCTCCGCAAGCGAGCGCCTCAAAATTAGTGTGAGACAGTCGGGCTGGTAGGGTCGGAATGCGGGCAATTATATAACAGCAAACAGAGGACCCCCCAAAGAAAAAAACACCTCCGTCATCCTCATTTCTCGTCCACACTCAGGAAACCAAAAGGTACCAATGCCGCTACCCCTCGGACCTGTCCTGGGGTGCGTTCTGACCAGGACTTCGAGGCGAATCCAGCGGTGGCGACGAGGGCATCCCAGGAGGCCCCCAAAGGGGAAAACGGGGGAGGGGGTAGAGGTGTGGGTACCCTGTCCTCCTCCTACCTGTGCCGCTGGGTGCCCTCGTGGCGTCCCAGGAAAACAAGCGGGTTGGCAGCCCGATCGTCACCACAGCTCGACCGGGCTGTGGGAGAGACTCTTGCCCTGTGGTTGGCCAGCCACAGTAGGTGCGGGCCCGCCGTACCACCCCTGAGAGGCCCGATGGGGTTACTCGAAGGGGTCCCCCGACGTGGGGGGCGCGGGAACTTAAGTCCTTGGGCAACGGGGCCTCCGCTGCTTGAGGCCGGCGGCCAAGTGGGGGTGGTGCCGGTGGCCGTGTCTCGGGGTGGCATCTCGAGGCACCTCGCAACGGCGGCGCGGATAACGCCGGGGGCGGTCCGTGCCGCCGTTCGTGTTGCGAGGTCCGACTGCATGTGAATTCATGCAGGCACCTTGGGCACCTCCCTTCGGGTTGTGTCGCCCAGGTGTTATGTCCGGGCACCAAAAAACCCTGTCCTCCTCCTCCGACGCTTTTCCCGAGCCCGCTCCGCTCCTCCGTCGCCATGCGTCGGCTTGGACCTGCTGGCTTGCCCCGGCACGGAAACGGGGGGGCTTCCCCAGGGGCCTCCCCAGAGGAAGGGCTCCTTGCATCCCGGCCTCTTGGCCTCCTGGCCTCCATGCCTTTGGCTCGCTGGAGCGGGCGCTCCCTGGTGGGAGCAGCGGATCCTCGGGGGAGGGATTGAGTTCGTTCCACGCGCTTCGCCCGTTGGGGTGGCGGTTGTCTGTTGCTCGTCCCCGGGGAACTGCTCGAGGCGCCCCCGCGCAGGTCGCGCTCCCGCGCGCCTGCCCCCGCCTGCTCCGAGGTCCCGCCTGCGCTCCTCCTCGCCTCGGTACGCATCCGGCGGCAGGGGGCAGGCGAGGAGGGGGAGGAGGAGGAGGAGGAGGAGGAGGAGGAGGAGGAGGAGGAGGAGGAGGAGGAGGAGGAGGAGGAGGAGGAGGAGGAGGAGGAGGAGGAGTAGGAGGAGGAGGAGGAGGAGGAGGAGGAAGGGGAGGGGGACGAGGAGGAGAACGAGGAGGAGGAGGAGGAGGAGGAGGAGGAAGAGGAGGAGGAGGACGGGAGGAGGCCGGGAGGAGGACGGGAGGAGGACGGGAAGAGCAGGGGTGGAGCGCTGGGGAGCGGACACCCGGGCGTCCGCCCTCTGCTGCAGCCTTCCAGCCTTCCTCCCTGCCGCCCTGCCTGGCATTCCCGCCGGGGTACTCGGCTGCTCACGCTTCGGTGGTCTGTCTCCCCGCGGGTGTTCCCAGCAGAGGCTCTGCTGCCCAAGACTTGGGCGATTGGCTCTGCCTCAGGGTGCTCCCAAAGCTCGCGCTCCTCCGCGCCTTCCCCAACTCCCCTGGCATCAATGTAACTATTTCCCTCCTCCACGAATGCAGTCCAGAACCAGCGTCAGGACAAAAGGGACGGGTGAGGAGGAGCGGGGAGTAGCGAGGAGAAGCGGAATGGATGTGTCAGGGCTGTGGAGGATTGCGGAAGTGGACGGAGGAGCGGAGCGGAGTCTGGAGTTTGGAATGGAGGGGAACAGAGGATAACAGAGGCTCGGGGAAGAACCAGCGCAATCAAGTTTAAGAAAAACAGCGCAGGTGGCGAAACTGACCTGAAACCGGAATCCGCCACTGTGCTTGCAGCGTTGTGTGTTTGTGTTTGTATCGGGGCTCTCCTTGTTCGTTATCTCGCTTCTGGCGAAGCAGTACTCGAGGTCTGCCGACGCGCCGAACCCAACAACCTTTGAGTTGTTCTTCCCTCTACCCAAGCCCCTGGTGATTTCGCCGTCATACCAAGACAATTATCCCAAACACGAAAGTCCAGGTAGCAAGACCCAATCTCCCCCCACCGGCCCACCAGGCGCCCCAGGCGCCCCACCGGCGCCCGCAGAGCGCGGCGGCTCCACCGCACGGCCGCGCAACGCGACACGAAGACCGACGCCTGCAACACTGCCACTGCAAACGTCGCTGGCACTGCAACAAGTGTCGCTAGTGGCGCAGATACAACCGCGGTGCCACTGCTGCTGCTGCTGCTGCTGCTGCTGCTGATGCTGCTGCTGCTGCTGCTGCTCCATCCCTGATGCAGTGACCATCGCCACTGCTGCCACAGCCAGCTACGCCCGAGACTGCAATGACTGCGGCCACGGCTTGCGACCGTCAGCAGGACAAGGACCAGAACGAGCACCACCGCTTCCTGACACCTCCAGCCGCCCTCGCCCCCGACCACAGCGTATCCCTCGTACTCGTCCACGCCCCCGTCTCCATCGTCGTCCTTCTCCGCCTCCTCCGCCCGCATCCTCTCATCCGCAACCGTGCCTGCAGTCCTCATGCTCACAACCCACGAGGAGCGCCGAATGTTGCACGGAGGCGCTTGTCTCCTGGCCGCGGCGAGCCTCAGCTTCGAAAGGAGATCCTCGACCTGGATCTGCGGACCAGCCCGAAGACCACAGCCCCTCCTGAGCCCGCAGTGGTCCTTCTCTCGGCGCCTTACAGTTGGGGGCGTTCGTTAAGGGATGTGCCTAGGAGGCTTCAGGCCTTGGAGGATTCCTTATCCAATGAGGGCGGCGGTGATACCCATGGCCGGTCCACGATTGGAGTTCCGCGGACTTCCAGACCCTGAATTCCTTATCCAGTGGTTCCTTATCCAATGCCTTCACCGTACCTGTACCAACCCCCTGCCCCGCAACCGTCATTGTCCGCCGCCTCGTCCACCTTCCGCACCTGATGCCCCCCAACCCTCAGGGCTCCATGAAGCACTCCAGGAACGCCGCCTGCTGCTCCAGGATCTCCAAGGTCTTCTCGTTCGGATCGCCGTCGTCCTCGTCCGCCGGGGCGGACGGATGAGATTGGCCAATCAGCTCCATACACCTGTTTCCTGGGCCCCTCCCTGCGCTGGAAGCGCCCATGTATCAAGGAAAACGTAGGGCGGCGGGGCCGAAACCACCTGCATGCAGCAGTCCCCCCCCCCCTTCCCAACCAACGGAATTGTAAACACCGGTTCGATGGACTACTTCCTGGTTGGATAGGTTGCTCCCCGGTCGAGGTGACTTATTCACCGGTTTTCTGCACAATCATACATGAGAGCACAAAACAACATTACAGGCTGCCGCAAGGCTTTTGAAACAAACCGTCTGAACAGTTCTTGGAACGCTCTTCAGAAGATTAAGATCTCTGTGAGGTGCATGAGATGGTTTCTCGTATGTTTCTGGAAGATTGCTGCGATGCTTCTCAGAATCTAACCAAGGGCTCCTGAGCGGTTTCTGGAAAGCTCCCGAAAGGCGTCTTCAAGTTGCCAGGGAGGCTTCTGAAACTGATTTCTTCTGAGAGGTTTCAGGAAGGCTACATTTTTTCTGAAAGGCGTCCTTCTGAAGTCAGCCGACGAGGCTTCTCAGAGGCTGCAGGAAGTCTTCGCGGAGCCCTCTGAGAGGCCTCTGAAAAGCTTATGAGAGACTTCTGAACGGCTGGCGGGAAGCTTCTGAACAACTTACAGAGAGTTACGAACTGTTGCTGGAAGGAGTCAGCGACCCACTAGAGGCTCCTGAGAGGCTCCAGCGGAACTTCTGAAACAACAAAAACATCCTAACAGGTTTCTGACCCGTTTCTGAGAGGTTTCGGTGAGGCTTCTGAAAGGCTCACGAGATGCTTTCGATGGGGCTTTCACCACGCTTCCGAAAAAGTGGCCCAAAGCTTCGCAGCATTTTTGAAGCGACTCTGGACTTCTTGGGGCTGGATTCGCATCCTTTGCGGAATTATCCTGGCGTTCTCTGAAGCTTCACTGTTGCAGAAAGCCAAGCCTAATGCACAACGCAGGCGCAAGCAAACATGAATCGTACACCAGTGCACAAACGGAACAACCCTAAAACATGCAACTTTGCTCGACCATCCGCTTCGCCACATTGCACACTCTCCCCAGGGCGCTCAGGTCATAATCCGTCTTTGACCAGCGACACACCCTGCGTGCCCCCGGTGGGAACTCCCCACAAAGCGGGAATCAGGCAGCAAATGAAAGCGAGCCTGGCTCCGGTCTGGCGAGAACTGCCACAGAGAAAGGGCTCAAGGGTAAGGAAGACAGGAACGCATGGGAGAGAACAGTAGGTTGACGAGGACACAGTGAACGAGGAGGATGAAGGTGGGGGGCACGAGAAGGAAGTAGGAGAAACATGTATGTTGAGGAGGAAGACGAGGAATGGTAGGAGGCGGAGGAAGAGGAGACAAATGACAACGTCGAGGTGGAGAAAGAGGAGGATAATCTATAAGATGATGAGGGAGACAAGGAAGAGGAAACAACAAACAAGTGGATGATGGAACAGAGGATCAAAAGAAACAGTAGCATGATGAGCACGACGACGTGAAGCAATGGCAGCAGCTTCTGCTGCGAGCGGAACGAGGAGGATGAGCGGCAGCAGCAGACTAGGCAGGAGAGGGAGGAGAACCAGTGTTTCAGACGGATGATGAGTTCGACTCGATTCCCTGGGGCCAACAACATTATTCTGGTTGGCGTTCTCCCTGCAGCTCCTTCACGACTTGGGCGAGGGGCACGGGGCGCTTCAACAGAACAGCTGAATCTGCGAGCCCTTTGGGGCGCTGCCCGCAAGGGCTCGCTGAAGCTGCAGGACCACACCATTAGGCCGGGCATGTCTCCCTACAGGCGAATTTTTTCGCGAAAACCTAAAGATATCCCAAGCATGCACAATCACAGTAGGAAAATACAAGGAAAATCGTCCCCAGACCATGTTTTTACTATTTTCCTTCTGTAGAGGGACAGGCCCGTTTTAATCCTATACCATTACTCGGGCACGCAACGGGGGCAATCCGCCCTAAACAAAAACATGGAACTGGATGCGCCGAGCGCGCCGAGCCTGTGCGACACGGTAAGATAGATGCTGCAAGGATCGCCTCGCCGGCGCAGCCAAAGTAAATCGTGTGCCCGGCCGGTTGGGCTGTCAGACTCGAACGATACAAACAAACAGCCTTGGCTCATGTTGCTCCCATCGTACTCAAGGACCACATCCCATAAATAATTTCGAGCACCCAGAAAAGTTTCGAAACAGTGTCGAATGAGTATCGCTCCCCTGGGCCCGACGCGCGAAAACCCTCAAGTTTCGGTACTTCCTTGGTGCTCGGTGGTCAAGGTTGAAGTAGGTTGGAACATCATATGCCTGGGCACGCTTCCTGATCTCTCTCTCTCTCTCTGTCGGTGAGGCGGCGCTACCCTCCACGGACCTACACGGCAGGCTGCGTAAATCTGGCTCTGACGTTGCTCGGCCCAGTGGTGGGCCCCCCTGGGATTCTCCTTGGGGAGGGGGAGGAGCCAGTCTCGGAGGGGCTTCTCGACTCCCTGGGAGGGCCAGCCGCTGCCGCCCATGAGGGCGGATTTGAAGATTTCCGGGGCTTGTCCAAGCATCCCGTGCTTGCGGACGGGGCGACTTTGGGCCAACCCTGAAGGGCCTCTAAAGCATTACCCAACGACTTAGTACTTAGCGTGGTCTCACCTGCAGCCTGCTCGACCTCGGCATGACTGGGGGGTTCGATCTGGGTGGTGGCGACTTTGGCCATTCTGTCAGCGACATCGTTGCCTTTGACATGCCACCATTCGGTGCTACCTCACTCAGAGCTGTCCCTGTCGACATGAGTTTTGGTTTTCCGTGTCTTGGGGCCAGTCGGGGCACCGGCAGCTCCAATGAACATCTTAACGGCGCCGTAAAAGTCGGTCTGAACAAAACGGATTGCTCGTGGAGATCCAGGGCTCCATGTTCGTCTACATAAAACCTGGACGTCAAGAGGGCCGGAGTTGAGACCAGCAACAAGCAGAGCACAGTGCGTGGCAGCCGGGAAAGGGGAGGAAGGACCGCGCCGACTCGCTCTATCATATAAACACGCACGTATCCGGAAACTACCTAGGGCCACCACGGCCCGTTCAGCGAGATTGTCTATCTTGCGCCCGCCTGGCTTGAAGCAGGGTCCATCGGAATGCGCGCTGCCTGGAAAAGCTTGATGCGGTGCCAGGGAGCTGTCTTGACGCCCAAAACAAAAAAACTGCTCGTGGCCGCATCATTTTGAGACCGCATCCGAGGAGAGAGGATGTTCTTTCCTCGAGTTGTCCCAGCCCATGCTCGGCGAAACTCTCTCGCAACTGGGCCGACCTAGGACGCTGCAGCCCGTGTGGAATGCTGCCGCTGTCGTTGCCACATTCACAGTGTGCCTCCGCCGAGTACAGTCAACCAGTATAGGAAGGATGCGCGATAAGGATGCAAGGGCCTTGGAGGGCCATCTCGAAGTTTTTCGAGCGAGGCGTGGCCAACGAAAGTGGCCAAGGATGGACCGAGGAGGCAAGGATGCAAAGATACCCCTGGGACGGTTGCCCATCCTTACTATGCGGGTTGACTGTCTCCTGCGGCCATCGATCGGGCGCGGGCGCACATTCACTGCGTCACAAGGAAACGAGAGGAGAAAGAGCAGTCTTGTCCAGCTGCGCATCGACGATGACTCTTCGAGCATCGGCGACATCAAGAATCTCATCGGGATGGCCTAGCTTCCTGGCAGCTTGCTACAACACTTGACGGCGCCAGGCTGCTGGCATACCTGGGCCGCGACCTTCGGGGCACAGGGGGCGGGGGCAACGTCGGCCCCTCGGGCACCCCAAAAAACACAAGGCGAAACCAGCCAATCCGATTGAAGGATAAGCTAGCGGCTCCTGGGAAGCCTCTCACAACTCGCCAGGAGGTCGGGCCTGGAATAGAACTGGCTCCGACAGGCTATGCAAATCTCGAATGTCAGATGAGGGCGCTGGCTGGGCTTGCGCTCTCCAGCCCATGTGGACCAGGTAAGCGCTGGTCCTGGGGTGCAGTCCACGCCGGATCTCCCAGCGCTGCCAGAGCTAATGATCAACTTATTATTGCGCACCTGGGCCCTGCTGCCTTGAAGTATGATGTTCGCAAGACATGTAACTCCTTTCGGTCAGCACCGATAACCTCCGTTCCGTGGGCGAGCCCCTGCGGACGCCCCGTCGGCCAAAGCTCCCAGGCGACTCTCCAGCCAGCTTGACCGCCCACATACGATGCCTCCTCCTCCTCCATGTCCTATGTTGATCGATGCGGCGATAGAGGGTGGCCGTAAGCGAGCCTTTCGCTGAGTCGGGCTCTCGAAGTAGCAGCAGTAGCATATGTGCCAAGGTCGGCGGGCGCGCGGGTGCCCTCGAGGCCGGTGCGCTTCCCGCATGATCTCCGAATGCTTTACCCTAAGCTGAGGGTTCGACGCTATGACGCGAGCTCTGTGCAAAGCGAACTGGCACTCCAAGTCCTCGCGCACGACTGCTAGCCTGGCAGCCGAGGATGGCAGCTCACCGACTAGAACCAGTTTTGGCCCTGATCCTACTGCCCCACAAAGAGGCCATTAATGGACATGCCCAATTCTTCCCCGAAGGGGTTCCCGCGGTGCCAGGGTCACAGGGGGCTCGCGCAATGCAACTCAACCACACGATCATCCCATCCACATCCATCTGCAATTCCGCGGGCGGGGGAGTAGTCTACCATCTCGACGAGATCTCGCGTCGCCGCCAGGCGCTGGCTACTGTGCTGGGTGAAATCACCTTCGGGAGGTAGATGTGGGAACGTGCGTCATGGGCACCCCCCATGGGCTCGGCATGACTGACGCGCCCGTAGTCATTGCCCAGGTCTCCCAGCGCCGTTCTACTCGGGCCTGCCGGATGGGCCAACAGCTGACGCCTGTGCTTCCGGCCCGGCCTCCTGGCCTCAGCCCGCCTCGCCATGCCCCAGATGCGACGCAGGCCGGGCATCGCCCCTGCGCCTCTGAAGCGGGGCTGGGGATTCTTGCCGTTCGCTCTCGTCTTGAGGACCAGGGCCGATGCGACTGCTCGCGACGGACTTGGCGCGCCGCCGACCCTCCTGGCCAGGCCCAAGATCGCGCGCGCGCGCGCGAGGGGCGCCCGCGCCGGCAAGAGACACCCAGGGCGACAGCCGCCCTAAGACGAGGCCGTGATTTGGGAGAACCCTGACCTTCCAGAGAGCTACTTTTTGGCACGGGAAACCTAAAAACCTAAAAAAATGAGCGAAACAGCTTAAAACCAAGACGTAGAATAGCTTTGGGATAGGTTTTTAGGTCGGGTGCTATTTTTTAGCCCTCCTGGAAGGTCAGGGAACGCCCCGGCAGCGTCAAGGAAGCGCCAGGGCTCCAGCGGGGCCGAGGGGGCCCCGCGAGGGCCGGGCGCCGCTTGGCATGTCGGCCCGGCCGCAGCGGCGCCCCGCAGGGCGCTGAGCCTGCCCGCCTGGCGCTGGGCGATCTTGCACGTCCTCGCAGACCGCGGGCGCCCATGGGCCACGGCAGAGGGGCGCCGCGCCGCGCTCCCGCGCGGCTGGCCCACCGGGGGGGGGCGCGGCCGGCAGTGCCTCGGGTGCCCATCTCGACCCGGCCCCGCCCGACGCGCCTCCTGCTTCTCTTCTCTTGGCCCGACCTCCGGGACTGCCCGCCGAGCGACGGCGCCGCGAACCTCGCCCAGAATGCCCGACCCAAGAGTCGCGCCCAGAACCTGGTCGCCCGGGGGCAGCCTGGGCGACGAGGGCGAAGGGGGGGGGGGGCGCAGTCGAGGCTCTCTGCGAGGACCTCGGACTTCTGAAACTCGGGGGGGGGGGGGGGGCGGGCAAGCCGCCGGCGAGCAGCTGGAGCTCGTCTGCGCCCAGCCTGCGCAGCGGAGCGCAGACGCTGCCGCGCTGCCCTGCGCGGCCACCGAAGCAGCTCGCGCGCGACTTCCACTGGCTCGGTGGCCTGGTGGCCCTCGACCGAAGTTGCCCTGCGCTGGTCCACGCGATCCTCGGCGCGCAAGCACTGCGACGGGGGGGCTCGCGCCCGTCGAATCGGCGACGGTATTTCCCAGATTCCCGGCGAGATAACGACGCGCCCGATCGAGAACGCTTCGCCGTCGTTCCGGCCCAGGGGCAGGTTTGGAGCAAAAAACTTCAGCTCGATCCGGCTACGGCGGCGCCCCAAATCTGAGCCTGGCGCCGCGGCCCAAAGACAAGCTCGGCGGGGAGGCGCTGCGGCTTGCGCGGCACACGCGCGGATGCGGCGGAACTCTCGTCTGTCTGGGCACTGGCGCTGACTGGCTGAAAGCAATTGCACTGCGTTGTTGGCTCTCCGAAAATCTGTTTCAGACAACTGCCGTACACAGAATAACCCAAGGCCGACTGGCCGAGCTTGGCTTTGAAGGGGGGGCCTCAAGAACACGGGCCCTCATGCCAACCCGCTGTGCAAAAGCACGGTTGTGAACGCGTCTGGGTCAATGTTACAGTCGCCTGCCGTCACGATGGAAAGCTGCCAGCTTTCCTGGACGATGGCAGCAGCCGCAAGTAAGCGTAGGTTTGTCTCATTCAAGCCAATACTAACCTGACTGCGACTAGACAGAATACCAATGTCTCCAAACCCAGGCAGTTCCACCCGAACGCCCACGAGACGTCCCCGGGGCCTCCAAAGGGATATCCACATCCCCAAGCCCAGATTTGAATCCACAACGCATTAGGATACAAACTCCAGATGAGCGCGTTTGTGCGGGACGGAAAAGCCTGCCTGAAACACTACGTGCCAACCTCGCCTGCGCGACCGCTGGCTGGCCTGGATGATGGCCTGCTCACTGCGCAGCGTGACCTCCCCAGCGCTCATGATGCGCGTGCCGTCGCGCAGCTGCGCATCCAAGAGCTGCTTGGCCGATGCCCGGCAGCTTCCGTTCACTGTCAGCCTGTTGATCTTGCTCAAGTAGCTGCTGCCCCACTGCTGCATCGCTGCCCTCGTCATTCTGCAGAGCGTCCTCGCTGCTGGCCAGGTTGAGCTTCCAGGCGATCTCATCCTCGTCGAGGGTGGCCGCCCGGAGGCCTGGGATGGCGCCCTTCACGTGATGGGCCGCCCTCTTGCGAGCCTCCTCCATGATCTCGTCAGGGTCGCTGCCGCCAGCTGCTGCTGCTGCACTTGCAGGTGCCGCTGCAGCACCTGCTGCCGCTGCAGCTGCACGCGCCTGCTGTGGTGGTGGAGCCTGCGCTTGGTGTTCGTCCTGCTGCTGAATGTCACCTGAGAGTTTCGCAACCTCTCCCCACTTCTGATCAACTTCCAGAGGCAATCGTTCACGAGGGGCGTTGCTGCGGGAGGCGGTGATCCCCTTGAGCGCGTGGGACATGCCACCGCGCGCGTCGCCACCTGCAGCGGCGCCTCGAACAGCTGGGCGTCCTTGCTGATCCCAATGAAGTCGGAGAGGGCCTTGCTGTGCCGCTCCGCCAAAGTCGCCATTTGGCCACCAAGCTGGCCCAGGGTGTCCTTGACGTGGGCCATCCTGCGCATCTGCTGCGCGAGCTGGTCGCTGATGCTCCGGGCCTGCCGTCCGTGGCTCTGGCCCGCCAGTGGTTGTTGCGTGGTCAGCCCGAGGGCCTCGGTGTTTGCACTGCTTGCTGCCATCGCCACTCCACGCCTTCCAGGACGACACCTGAGCTTGGGCCAGCATGATGGGGGTGGGCTCGCATGCTGGAGGAGCCGTGGCGGCTCCTAGAGGCTGGACACGTTGCTGACCGTCGCCTCGGACGATCGATCTGTTGCGCCGCCATGTTCCCCGACCGTTGTTCGACGGGTCCTCTTCGAGGTGATGGGGGGGGCCAGACTGACAGGATTGCCGAACCCCGTCTCCAAAGCCGCCTGCGCGCTGGCCGCGTTCGTTCTGAACGCCCTTGAGCTGCGAGCCGCACTTGGTTGAGTAGGGTGAACTTCTGCCGATGCACGACCAGCCACTGCATCCCTGACCTGCGCACACCTGAGATGGTCTGCCATGCCGGGACACCATGGCGCCGATTCTATCAAACACGCTGAATCGAAACGTGCAGCTAGTGAAATATAGCCCCTCGGGCGGCGGTGGGCTGTGGGGACCCACGGCCGAGTCCTTGCCGGAAAGCTGGCCGACGCTGCCAGGCCCGCAGAAGGGGGCAGCATTTCTGTCTCGACCTCGGACCTCTGGAGCCTGGGGCGGTCGGCAACTCCGCCTCGAGCCGAAGCGGCTGCGGGAGGGGAAGGAGGAGCAGGAGCGAACGAGCGAGCGTGCAGCAGTGCAGTCGAATCGATAGCATCGCACGCCCGAATGGAGACGGCGGGAGGGTGGGCCGAGAAGCCAACCCTCCTGCAAGAGTGCTGCGCCGCAGCTGCAGCGCGGCAGAAGCAGCGTCTGCGACGCTCACGGAGGCAGCAGGCGGAGACGACGAGGGAAAGGGCGAAGGGGGAGAGGAGCCGCCGCCAGAGCGGGCGGAAGAAAGAATCACGCCCCGGGGGCGACCAGCGCGGCTGAAGGCCGAGGAGTCGCAGAACGGGAAGCCTGTCTACGCGACGGATCTCTCTCTCTCTCTCTATATATATATATAGATCTACACAGACACCCTCCGACGAACTTTGCAGGTATCTTCAGGGAGGCTCGCGGTGTCCAAAGCCGCTGGCTTTCAGCGGTGAGCAAGACACCGCCGCCCTGAGGCCCAGGAACAATCCGTTGGAGGGTGTCTATGTGAATTTGCTTGTGGCGGCTTGTCAGGCTGGGGAGCCCTGTCAGGAGGGAGGAGCAGCAGGAGCGAAACGAAAGTGCGCACGCTCTCCTCGTCGTCGCCCTCCGCATGCTGCACCGCGCGCGCGGGGGGCGGGTATTCGCGGTGTTCCCGGCACCGCCGCCCCCACATGCTCCCGATCTCTCTCCCGCTATGTCATACGGCCGCCCTCCATTGAGCATGGTTTTTGTTCGGGGCTGCGGTCCGCGGCATAAACGGCTGTGGCTCTGCACTCGTGCTCCCGCTGCTGCCTGTGCCGCTTGCCCATTCACCCTTCACCTCAGCCCGCCAAACCATTCACCCCGCCCACAGGAGTCCCTGAACGGTCATCCAAGATCGGGGACGCACTGATCCAGGTGAGTGCAAACCTGGGTCAGTCGGGCCTTGCAGGAGCCTGCAGTTTCCTGCAGGATCCTGCGTTCTAGCCCGGATCAGTGCGCCCCTGCCTCTGCAGAATCTTGCAAGATCCGGCACTCTGGACGACTTCCGCTTGCAGTGACTCCCTTCTCAAAGCTCCCGACACGATTATGGGACGCCGTGGTTTCCCGCGCAGCCCCCCCTCCCTCCCCGCCCGGTGGACCACGCCTGTCGGGGGCCTCATATATATACATATATATATACACATACATATATATATGTATGTATCTATGTATTTGTATAGATATGTATATTTATGTATATATATATATATATATATATCGCCGGGGCGGCGCCAAGAAGGGGCCCCAGCATTGTCCACTCGAGCTTGCCGCTTCTGTTCCTCCCCATCCAGCATGCGCGATTGCGCTCACAAAGCTCCGGCTGGTTCGAGTGGCGATGGTGCGGGCGTTGATTTCTGACGCCGCGTGGATCTACGAACCTTGAAAGATCGCGGCCCTCCGATCGCGCAAATCGCTGGACATCGGCCGATTCTGGGCCACTGGCGGAGCTCAACCTTGAACGTCCACGCTGGGGTCGCCGCCGCATCAACGCGTCAACGCGGTCAACGCTGCGCTCGCTATAACCTACCGTAACGAGTGCGCATGCGGAGACAGAACACGAGTCCCAAACCCACCGCACAATTACCAGTGCTTCGAACCACCAGACAGAATAGAGCGGGCGCAGGAGTGCGGCGGAATAGCAATTCAGCGGGGAGGAGCGGTAAGAAACGAGAGGGAGTGGGTGGGACTGGGGAGAGGAGCGGACGACTAGGATGAGCGGAGTCGAACGGAATGGGGTGGAACAGGGTGAGAGGAGTGCGAAAGAGGAGCACACGCACACATCTGAATGTGCGCTCGCGGCATACTACAAACACGCACGCGCACGCACGCACGCACGCACGCACGCACGCACGCACGCACGCACGCACACACACACACACACACACACATACATACATACATACATACATACATTCATACATACATGCATACATACATACATACATACATACATACATACATACATACTGCACATACATACATACATACATACATACATACATACATACAGACATACATACATACATACATACATACATACTGTACATGTTTCGTCGGCGGCGAGGCAGAAGAGCTGCACAAGCGGTGAGCGATCGGCGCGACCGAAACGCGAATTGGACGGCATGCAATAGGGGGTGGGGAGAAAACAGACAGGGCGGCCGCGGAGGACGGGACAAGGCGGAGGGCACTCGGACGCGAAGAGCTCCACGGTGAACGCGCCGGCGCGGCCAGCAGCGGCCATCCAAAACACGCGCACACACACACACACGCACACACACACACACACACACTCACACACGCACGCACACACAAACACACACACACACACGGGCAGACACACACACAAACAAATACACACACACAAACACACACACACACACGCACACACACACACACGCACACACACACGCACGCACACACACACACACACGCTCTCCCGCGGGCGCATTTCTTGGCGTCGCGACCACGCGCGCAGCGACGCGGCGAAGGCAGCTGGAGTGCAGGAAGAGAGCCCGAGAGCGCCGCAAGGGCCTCGGCCGCAGCCGGGGGCCCTCGCGGCCGGGGTCACGCAGCGGGGTGGAGCACTGCGCGGCAAAGCCGAGCACCAGCATGAGACACCGAGGGGGGCGGGAGCAAGAGAAGCAAGAGGGAGGGAGAACAAGATGACGAGCCCTTCTCTCACAGATGGGCTTGTTGGAGGAGCCCTTCTTTCCCAGAGGGGCCTCTGCACACACACACACACACACACCAAAAGCCCTTCTTTCGCAGAGGGGCCAAATTGTCACCTTCTGCCGGCTTGTGGATTAACAGTGGCGCCAGACAGTGGATTTGGCTCACGGGGAACGTTTCATCTGAGGAGCGTGCCCAGCGGGACCGAGCTGCCTCGAGATGATAGCCGTGGTTGGGGCTGGCCGCACTCAGGCCAGGACCGACCCGGCTAGCCAGTTGATGGCTTGGCGGCTAGGGTCGCACCCTACTCCCCCTCCGCCCAATCTCCCCATCCCTCCCTCGCCAGCTCCGCCCGCGACTCTACCAGCAGCGACGCAATGTCAAGGCAACAGCGTCGACGGCGGCGGCGACTCGGACGGCCACTGCGACGAGAACTGGATCCGCGGCGACGACGTCGACGGCCGCGGCGGCGGGAACGGCCACGGCGACGAAGACGGCGGCGGCGGCGGCGAGAGCGGCGGCGGCGCGGACGGCAGCGGCGGCGAAGACGGCGGCCGCGGCGGCAGCGGCCGCGGCGGCGGCTGGATGAGGAGGAGGAGGAGGAGGAGGAGGAGGAGGAGGAGGAGGAGGAGGAGGAGGGGGAGGAGGGGAGGAGGAGGAGGAGGAGGAGAGGAGGAGGAGGAGGGGAGAGGAGGAGGAGGAGGAGGAGGAGGAGGGAGGAGGAGGAGGAGGAGAGGAGGAGGGGGGAGGAGGAGGAGGAGGAGGAGGAGGAGGAGAGGAGGAGGAGGAGAGAGGAGGAGGAGGAGGAGGAGGAGGAGGAGAGGAGGAGGAGGGGGAGGCCGCCCGCGCTCGCGCGTCCTCCTCCTCCTCGGGCGGATTGGCCAGCGCGTCCTCGCTCTGCTCGTCGCCCTCGCAGGGCGGGGGCGAGGCGCGCGGCGGCGGGGAGGCCGCGAGAACGCGGAGGCGGGCCGCGCACGGCCCGGAAAGGGAAATATCGATGAGCGCGTTTTGCACCGCTCGCAGAGGCGGCTGCCCGCAAGTGGCCCGGGCTCGTCGCGGGGGATGTGCGATCCAGCACGTCGAGGCAACTCCGGACTACCTACCAGAACACCCCAAGCCAACCCGAAGACCCGAATTTCGCCTGACTTTCGGGTTGGGGGGGGGGGGTATGGGCTTCATAGGTGTTTTTGTCCGTGTGTCCCGACCCCCCCCCCGACACCGGAAAAGGAGGGCACGTCGGGGCCTTCGGGTTGGGTTGGGGTGGTTTGGTGGGCGGTGACCTCCGTGCTTCTCGGCCGTTTGCGAGCGGGCGCTAGCGAGCGGCGGAACGCGCGCCCGGTGAGGAGCGCAGGGGCCGAGGCCAGGACAGCACTGGACCCTGGGCCAAGGGCCGATCTCGGAAGCCCCGAGCCCAAAGACGTTTGCATCTCTTGGGGGCCCAGTGTTTGCTTCCGCCGCCTTCCGCGAACCCTCTGCCGACCTTCCGCCGGCGGAGGCCGCCTCGTCCTGTTTCCGCCGCCTTTCCGCCGCCTTCCGCTGCGGAAGGGATGGCAACTCCATCGATCCTTAGAGGCAAGGTCACGTCTGGAACGCTAAACACGATCTCTAAGATCCGGCGGTTTTGGAGGCTGTGGCGACAGTTGCGCAGATCGCAGCCCCCAAGGCACCGCGAGGTCCCGAGGTGATCCGCGTGGGACGTACCTCCGCTGGGCCTCCCAGGAGCCCGCGAAAGTGGCGACAGTTGCGCAGATCGCCAGCCACCCAGGGCACTGCGAGGTCCCGAGATGATCCGCGAGGGACGTACCTTCGCTGGGCCTCCCAGGAGCCCACGAAAGTGGCGACAGTTGCGCAGATCGCAAGCCCCCCAAGGGGGCGGCAAGGTCCCGAGGTGATCCGCGTAGGACGTACCTTCGCTGGGCCTCCCAGGAGCCCACGAAAGTGGCGACAGTTGCGCAGATCGCAAGCCCCCCAAGGGGGCGGCAAGGTCCCGAGGTGATCCGCGTGGGACGTACCTCCGCTGGGCCTCCCAGGAACCTACGAAAGTGGCGACAGTTGCACAGATCGCAGCCACCAGGGCACCGCGAGGTCCCGAGGTGGTCCGCGTGGGACGTACCTCCGCTGGGCCTCCCAGGAGCCCACGAAAGTGGCCACAGTTGCGCAGATCGCAAGCCCCCCATGGGGGCGGCGAGGTCCCGAGGTGGTCCGCGTGGGACGTACCTCCGCTGGGCCTCCCAGGAGCTCACGAAAAAGGCGACAATTGTGCAGATCGCAAGCCCCCCAGGGCGCCGCGAGGTCCCGAGGTAGTCCGCGTGGGACGTACCTTCGCTGGGCCTCCCACGAGCCCACGAAAGTGGCGACCATTGCACGATCGCAAGCCCCCCAAGGGGCGGCGAGGTCCCGAGGTGGTCCGCGTGGGACGTACCTCCGCTGGGCCTCCCAGGAGCCCACGAAAGTGGCGACAGTTGCGCATATCGCAAGCCCCCCAAGGGGCGGCGAGGTCCCGAGGTCCCACGGCACCGCGAGGTCCCGAGGTGCTCCGCTTGGGACGTACCTCCGCTGGGCCTCCCAGGAGCCCACGAAAGTGGCGACAGTTGCGCAGATCGCAAGCCCTCCAGGGCACCGCGAGGTCCCGAGGTGATCCGCGTGGGGCGTACTCCGCTGCTCCCAGAAACCAACGAAAAAAGGCGACAATTGCGCAGATCGCAGGCCCCCCAGGGCACCGCGAGGTCCCGAGGTGCTCCGCGTGGGACGTACCTCCGCTGGGCCTCCCAGGAGCCTGCGAAAGTGGCGACAGTTGCACAGATCGCAGCCCCCAGGGCACCGCGAGGTCCCGAGGTGATCCGCGTGGGACGTACCTTCGCTGGGCCTCCCAGGAGCCCACGAAAGTGGCGACAGTTGCGCAGATCGCAAGCCCCCCAAGGGGGCGGCAAGGTCCCGAGGTGATCCGCGTGGGGCGTACCTCCGCTGGGCCTCCCAGGAACCTACAAAAGTGGCGACAGTTGCACAGATCGCAGCCACCAGGGCACCGCGAGGTCCCGAGGTGGTCCGCGTGGGACGTACCTCCGCTGGGCCTCCCAGGAGCCCACGAAAGTGGCCACAGTTGCGCAGATCGCAAGCCCCCCATGGGGGCGGCGAGGTCCCGAGGTGATCCGCGTGGGACGTACCTCCGCTGGGCCTTCCAGGAGCCCGCGAAAGTGGCCACAGTTGCGCAGATCGCAAGCCCCCCAGGGCGCCGCGAGGTCCCCACGATCGCAAGCCCCCCAAGGGGCGGCGAGGTCCCGAGGTGGTCCGCGTGGGACGTACCTCCGCTGAGCCTCCCAGGAGCCCACGAAAGTGGCGACAGTTGCGCAGATCGCAAGCCCCCCAGGGGGCGGCGAGGTCCCGAGGTCCCACGGCACCGCGAGGTCCCGAGGTGATCCGCGTGGGACGTACCTCCGCTGGGCCTCCCAGGAGCCCACGAAAGTGGCGACAGTTGCGCAGATCGCAGCCCGACGGCACGAGAGAAGAGGAGAGGGGAACACAGGAAACACGAGAGGAGGAGGGGAGGAGGGGGGAGGAGGAGGAGGAGGTGGAGGACGGGGCGACCACACTGCTCTATTCAAAACGAATACCCAACCATAGGAGGGTTGGGAACAACTCCGGCGTAGGCCCCCGCATGATAGTCTCCCACACTACTATGGAAGTACACCTCAACGCCATCCTTGTGAGTGCAGAAGTTTTTGCTCCCGTCTCCTCATCGCCCTTTTCCATGTCGCCCTGGTGGAAACCCTCCTCCCGCCCCCTGCTCTGCATCCTCCTTGTCCTCCTGTCTCTTCTCCCCTAGCACCTCCTCTCCCGCCCCTCTAGCAAGGGCACGCAGGTCGATTTTCCTTGGCGCCGTCGCCGCCACGGCCAGAAGGGGCGCGTTCGTCGATGGCCGGATCGCGAAACCGCTGGGGGAACCCCGAAGGCCAGGCCGTTGGGGCAAACCCGCGAGCCGCTGGGGCGCGGGAGCAAATAGTTAGGACAACCCCGTAGATCTCGAGCTGGTCGCGGCCGTGCTTAAGCGGGAGACAACGTGAAGCCAAGCTCTGCCGCGAGCTGTTCCGCCTCAACCCTGGAGCTCACCGCTCTCTTGTCGGACTCCCCAAACGCCTTGATATTCTGGAAAACGCCCCGAAACCAACCAACAAAACAAATCGTGCTGGTGGCACCTTCTTCACTAAGACAGGGGGATGCTTGGAACCAACGGCTCCCCCCTGCGCCCGATTCGGCCGCCGACGGGCTACCGCCGGCGGCCCGGAGACAAGGGGTGCCCCCTGCCCCGCAATTCGTCCGAGGATGGGTGACGACCCCCGGCCCGGAAATCAGAGTTCCCCACTTCGCTTAAGTCGGCCGACGATGGGTTACAGTCGGGGCCTTGACATAAGGAACCCAAAGTAAGGAACGAGGCCCCTTTTTTCCATAATTTAAACTTCGATGTCCGATCGAAAACAGAAGGAAAGCCGGAGGCAAGCTGCGAAACACTTAAGGAACGCGGAGCCCCTCCCCAACGGAAAGGGTTCCTTCTTCAGGGCACCGACTGTAAGAGTTCCCCACTTCGCCTAAGTCGGCCGACGATGGGTTGCCACCGCCGGCCCCGAGACAAGGGCTTCCCCCTGCCCCCGATTGGGGTGCCGAGGGGTTACCACTGCGGCGGCCCAGACAGAAGGATTGTCCCCTGCGCCCGATCCTCCTGAATTCCTGTTCCTCCGAAATCCTCCTCCTCTGATGGTCGAGTTAGTCGCCCTCGAAGGAGCCCAAAAATGGCCCCGCCCAGATTGGCCCGCGAGCCTTGGCAACGACAGTTACATGGCTCAACGGAGCCCACGTCCACGAGCCTTGACATTACCATCGTTCCTGAAAAGCCCAAATATGACGACTGCTACAGGATCCAAAGGACCCGCTCGGACTACCAACATAAAGTGCGGGTCCCATGGGGAGGGGACTCCCGCCTGAGACTTCCCCCCAACTCACTCACGGACGAGGCTCCCACTCAAGACTTCCGCCAGACCCAAGCCCCAAGAGCCTAAAAGTAACGACGGCTACACGATGCAGATGGCCCGCTCGGATCCGATGGCGGTGAGGACCCCGCAGGGAGGGGCTCCCGCCCGAGACGTCCCCGCGAGTCGCTCACACACACGGCGCCCCTGCTCGAGACTTCCTCCAGATTCGGCCCCGAGGAACCAAAAGGTGTGTACCAGTCGGCTGACCCGCTCGGGTTCGAACATGGACAAAGACGAGACACTCCATCGAGACGGGTTCCCACTGGAGCTTTCCTCAAGACTCCACCATGGGGATCCCCAACAGTGGCGGTAAGCACGCGATTCGGACGACCCGCGCGCATGCGAACATGGAGGTCGGGACCCCATTGGGACGGGCTCCCGCTCGAAACGTCCTCAGGATTCACTCACAGACGGGGCCCCCGCCCGAGCCTTCCTCCAGATTCAGGCCCGAGGAACCCAAACGTGACGAGAGCAACACGATTCGGATGACCCGCTCGGCTTCGAACATGGAAGCGGGGAGCCCATGGGGAAGGGTACCCGCTCGAGACTTCCCCGCGAGTCGCTTGCAGGCGAAACCCGCGCTCGAGACCTCCTCCACATTCAGGCCCGAAGAGCCCCACGGTGACAAGTACGCGATTCGGACGGCCAGCTTCGAAATACCAATTTGGAATGAACCCCATTGGGACGGGCTCCCGCTCGAGACTTCCTCGCGGGTCACTCACAGACGGGCCCCCCGCTCGAGACTTCTCCTAGGTTCAAGCCTGAGGAGGCCCAAAGTGGTGGCAGTTGCAAGATTCGGATGACCCGCTCGGATTCGAACATGGAAATGGGGACCCCAGAGGGAGGGGTTTCCGCTCGAGACTCCCGCATGGTTTACTCACAGAC